CCTGGGAATTAATTACTTCAAAGTTGTTGATAAATTTGCAGGAACATTTCCACAGCTGACTCCTCATTTCAGGTGCATTTCCAGGCACCTGAAGAGAAACTGGAATGAAGAATGCTCCCAGACTAACAGTCCTGAAAGTCTAACCTGTGGTTAGCATTTGTGTGCTCCATGTGGTTCATCACCCAGAGGGAACATGCTACAGTGGAAGAACATCTGCAAGATAGAAAAAGAGCTCCTAGATAATAAATTATTTGAAGGTAGGGGTTGCTAGGGGTGGATGAGAACAAAGGTACATTTTAGCCATCACTGTGCTGGGGAGGTCTGCAATGCATGGGGGGTGGGTCATGTCTCCTGCAGAGAAGTTCCAGAAGTCTTTTCACTGGAAGATGAAAGGCATCCTTCTCCACTCTAAATACAGCTATTTTAGTTAGGGTTTGCTACAGGGAAAGGCTTTAGTCACTTTTTTGTCATGAGGCTACATTAAAAGAAAAGCTTATGCTTTGGTAGTATAAATATCTAAGTGAGGGCCACTTTTTTCAGAGACTGAGAGTGGGAGCAATTTGGGAGCAATCCCTGTATTCTTCCATTACAGAAAAGGGACTTTGTGGTTTTATGAGTAATCCTATCATTGCAAAGCAAAATGGTAATCTTAAGAGTGGTTAAAAAGCATGGCTGATTTGCAACTGGACAGCATCCAGCCCATGCCATCCTACCTCCCACGCAAACCTTCCTCCACCACTCAAAACCAGGGACTGCAAAAGCCTGTGAGCTGCAGGAACATGTCTTTGGTGCTTTCATCCCAGCTCAATGCAATGTATGTGGATTCCCATCAATATTTAGACTTTAAAAAAATAAAAAAATGGTTAAATCCATCATAAATATTAAACACCAGAGTATGCTGGCAAGTTTCCCTGAAAACAAACTTTGAAAAATAATCTCCAAAAAAGACGTCAAGGCCCTCTGGAGAAGTGACACTGGCATGTCAGCAGACGTTGTCTTCTAAGGCTAAATGAAGCATCTGACCAGATTTAAATTTCTGTAAGAACGCATGCTAATTGAAATTGCTTTAGATTTAATTAAAAATGCTTTTCTATAAAGATAATAATGTAACTCTGTCAATTAGTATCAAGTGGCATCTAGAGGGCGTATTTAAAAACTAATCTGGAGAATAAATAGAGCTAATTAACAGTCAGAATAATGCTTTATGACTGTCTTTTGTTTATAAATGCTATAATAGTCATTATGCTATTAAATGAAATTGGTAATTAATATATATCAAAGCTATTTTTTAATGCTCTTTTAACTAAAGAGCATTTCTTACACACCATTTTTCAGGCGATCCAAACACAATCCATTCCTGGAGGGAGGGAGGAGGGGGAAAGAAGACCTGCTGTAAGATGGAGTCCATACAAGTTCAATCAGGACCTGCTCATTCATCTCCTGTCACACAGACCAGATGTGGTTATGAGCCTGTGAGGGACACGCAGCCAGGGTTGCCAAAGTGCTCTGCCAACCAGGACCATGGCCAGCACAGGGAAGGTTTGCACATCACCCCAGAAGCAGCACTAGGGACCCATTCAGCAAGCAGAGACGTGGTAGATTTTACCTTCAAAAACTAAGCCTTGTAAAAGCCAAGTCACAGTTCTGAGGAACGAGGACAACTCTGAGGTTTACTGTAGTATCTTTCTGAAAGACCATGAGGTGCTCAAATACTACAGGAGTGAAGCTTGTAAAAGAAAGCTGTGCTAACAGTGAAGATGTGCTGCCATCTGACCCCACTGCAAGGGTGGAAAAGATGGCTGGGCAATTGCAGGCACTGACAGATGAGCTTGGAAGAAAAAGGTCAGACCAGATTTGGCATGAGGCACAGTTTCTACATGACTTTTTGTAGGCAAACATGAGCTCCTTCTGAGACATCTGGGCCAATGCAGCTGCTGAGCTCCTGGCTGGCTCTGAGTGAGGCAGAGGGAACTCATGCTTGTGTCTGGAAAAGGTTGCATAGATGCTACTGGAGTTGACCATGGTCAAAAGGCTCAGAGGGCTGCCCTTGTCCTCAAACAGAGGTTCCTGTTACCCTCCAATCTCTCCTGTGACAACAGGTCTGAATGGATTCACTAAAGCAAATAAAATCACTGAAGTACTCTGAATTACATCATGCATTAAAAGCAGAAGGGACCAACTCTTCCTGTGCCCTTTTATGGTTAAAAATCAGAAATAACCCCCCAAAATACAACTAAAATAAGAAACATTTGATTTTGTAATCTGCATAACCCATGTTGTGCAATTTTTGAAGCACCATCACACGCAGCAAGTCTTTCTTGTATTATTTTAGCCACAATTCTGTGTATTCACTCTTTTTTAATGCCTTGCTAATGTTGAAAAATCCTTTCACTAACAGAGTAGAGTTAATTTCAAAAAAGGAAAGCACCTCTTTTCTCATGACAAGGCTTCAGCATTACTTTATAGAATAAACTTTCAGAATCAGCTTTGAAGAGTGTACAAAGAAAAAAGTGATTATCATTAGCAAGATTAAAAGCAAGCCACAAACCCAAGAACTGCTGCTCTAACCTCTGCAAGATGACTTTTATGCCAGACTGCAGACATACATGTCCTTCTATAACGAGTTTGTGTTCAGCAACAAGAACAAGTTGAGATTATTTAGGCAGCGTAGACAGGTGTCAGCAGACACATACCCACAGCACCTGAGATCCCAAACACCAGAAAAATGATCAAAGGAATTTGTCTGTGTACTACAACTTGGACTAGCCTCAAGTGCAGACAAAAACACTGGAAGAAATACGAACATATGGTATAATACTTCCCAGCATGGCAAACAGCCATGACAACCACTTTTGGAGATAAAATTAGATTGGGGAAGCAAAGCTGGAGAAAAACAAAGCCAAACATGAACTCTGAAAGCATTTCAGCTCAAGGTCATTTAAATACTCACCATATAACATCACCAGCAGGACCATTCTACCTTGCTTTTTGTTTTGTTTTTGTTTTTTTTCCTGATAGATCTGAACAAGCCAATCAAACCCTGAGAAACACTTAATTGCAGATAAAAATGAAAGTGCACCACAGCAGTTAACAGTATTTTAGTATTTTAAGTATGTTACTTATTCGGGAGACTAAACCAAGGCAGAAACCCAAAATAATTATCAAAACTAATTGCTGATTTCTCCAAACTACAAAGAGACTAAAAAGCAGTGTTTTTGTAAGTATGTAATCTGAAAAGAAGTATTTGCAACTTGTGAAGTTTTAGTTGGTTTTTTTTTAAGAACCAGTGACAGAAATCTCTCATTTTAAGGTCTTCAAGAAAACACTTAGAAACTGTTGCTGCCTGACTTTACTTACCTTGCACAAAAAACTGTACAATTAATTACCTCTGAAGGGAGATTTAAGGTAGGACATGGACTGTGACAAATGTTCCCCAGCTCTGTAACACTGCAAGAATTTTGAAAGGTCCCTTTCCAAGTTTTAAGCTAAAAAAAGATACTGTTAGTTTTGTGAAGTTCAATATTTATCCCACAGATCTCACCTAACTTTGTAGAGCTGGTGACTGAACTATTTGAGTATGCACCAACAGTGACTTGCACAGAGCTACACTTGGCCTTTCTACAAACAGGAAACATCTAGAATAGCACGACATCAGGTAATGAAAGATGTTAATGGCTGGATACAAAGACCAAATCATGATGGTTACACTAAAAGGCTCTAATTTTAAGCTCCTTAAATTATATGTAATAAACTAATTAAACACTATATATTATCTAGTAAATAGTAAGAAATAAAAATACATCATTCTAAGCTACTTCATTGGTCTCTGTGTTTGGGAGCCTGCTAGAGAAGTAAGGAGCAGCTGGAGCAAACAGATGCATCCAAATGAAGCCACTAAAAAGAGGTATCAGCGCATCCCCGGACAGCAGTGGCACTTTTGTGACTCATGGCTAGAAATATCAAGCTACTCATCTGCTCCTACAAGAAAACTTTTATGAGTAAGTCTAACAAAAGAGCATGGATTGAACTGCAGAGCAAGATAATCCAAGTTGCTGAGAGGTAATTTCATATAGCTATCAAATAAATTTCAAAATTTTACTACTACCATCATTGTTTCTTAACAATTAAAAAAACCCACAACAAAACAAACAACAAACAACTCCCACTCCCCAAGTCCCAAGTGTACCCCCCATTTTTCTTAGGAACTGTTTATGTAAAGCCTAGGAGGCAGGACAACTGAGGGGACAGATCCTGCACAGGCAAAAGAAGAGCTCAAGCTGCCCCTCTGTCTTGAAAGGCAGACAGGAATTAGGTGCATTGGTGGGGTTGGCTTCTCAACCCACCCACAGCATAACTGGAGATGGCTTAGAGATGCACAATGTGCTCTCACATGTGGCTAAGGAAAGATAATTAATGTAACAGCCACTGATCTACTCAAGGAATTAATACACAGTCCTAACTCAGGCTGAGTTTTTCACTGCAGGTCTCCTTGGTATTCATTTCAGAATGAAGGAGGAGCTGGTGAAAGGGGTGCAATCAAAACCATGAAGCCTGAATTTTCCCT